ATGGCATCAGAGTTATTATCTCTAATCTCAGGGAAATGTTTCTTAACAAACCCAAGCAGTCGGTATCTTTCCTTTTGATCAGATTTGAAAGGCTGGAGTCTAGCCCCTTAATTTCCTCGTAAGGATGACACTTGAAGTCAGACCACCATGGGATCTTGGCCTCTACCTGGAAAATCCCCTGATCAAGCACTAATCACATCCAGCCTTGCTTATCCCCGGAAATCAGCAAATCCAGAGCAACAACAGAATATTGCCAGAGGATTTTTCTCTTCAGTTCATTTTCACTGATGTTTAACCTCCAGGAGGAAAGTTTTTGACATGAGAGCGTTAGACAGTTTTCCACATGAAGATTTTTTCCCTCCAATAGCCAGATGGGCTAAGATGCCTTTTTGGTCTATTTCTTTTTATTTTGTTTGTGATTAGGACTCTCCTTTCTATGTATGTTCTTGTTTGTAAAGACAGATTAGCTTTTTTTTTTTCCTCTCCAGGAATAAAACAACTTTTATAATCAAAATCCAAAATGACAAAAGCTAAATTTGCTGCTTTTTAAACAGACATCTACTCACAATATGTAAACGAATAAATAAAATTGCTTCAGGTTAGTTACATGTTGTTCACAGGGAAACATCTTAACTTCATCACATGTTGAAATTAATATAGATAATGAATTGCATACTAAATAAATTAAGAAATACTTAACTTTTTGTCTATGCTTTGTTAGTATACAACCTGTGTGTTTTAATTAGATTTTTCAAAGTTCTTACCCAGTGTTACATTTGTCATTACATTCTGCTGCAGACCAAGTATATTTTTCTCTTGACAGGCTATAAAGAACACACTATTCATGCATATCTAGGCAATAATTTTGATGTATTGTCATTTGCATACAGGCTGGTGGAATTGTAACCAATAGCTGGACAATCTCAGAAAACTATCTGTTGTGCATGTGTATGCATACGTCATTCAAAGCAGTTAGTGTGCGGGGAGAGAATTCCCAGAAAAATTGAATCACTTTTTTTCTACTTTCTCCTTGACTATTTAGGAGGTGTTTCTCCTTTCTCTTACTGGAAAATGTCTTTAATCGATTGAATACCTGGGGTCCAAAACATACCCAAGCTGTCTGAACACCTACCTAGGAAGGGGTATTTTTAAGAGAGTCTGCATTTGCTTTGTGGTGATCGATCACACGCACAGCCTCAGGTACTTTAAGATGGAAATCTGCAATTTTCCTGATCAAGTACAATGATAAATCAACTTTCGCTTCTATTGTTTAAACAATAGTAAGAAAGTGATTACCAGGAAGAGATCTTTAAGAGAAGCAAACACAAATACCTATCTAAAATCCTCTCTGCCAAGGGTAACCCAGGAGGCCCAGTTGTGTGTCTGTCCACCTCTCTAAGACAACTCCCCCTGGTCTCGGTTCCATGTTCCTTTACAAAACCAGCTAGAATTCTTTTGACTGCATGTATTCCTGAGCTTTTTCCCGAGCTGGCTTAATTCTGTAAAAAAGAGCTCAGAAGGATTTGTGGAGATGTTGCTTATCTTAACTGTTCCTTCCCCTTCCTGCTTGTCTTTCCTGACAGCACCCATTAAGCTGTACAACCGCATTCAAATGTAAACATCCTACTGCTCATGTCAACACAGTATATTCATGAATCACCGAGCAGTTCCAAAATCAGCACAGAAGACTGGGAAGGTCATTTGGTACAAGACGAGAACAGAGGCAGGCCTGTAAGCTCCACAAAATGTAAATCTATTTTTTTTTCCTACTTAAATATGCTTTGTTGTAATTTATCCAATGTGTTCACTCTTATCACTAAGAACATATTACTACTATGTTAGACTAACATTCTTTAGCATCTATTAGATAACATACTTTTAAATCTAGTAGGCAATTTTACCTATTGATTTTCAATAAATAAAATTCATTCACTTTATTAACATCCAAATTCTCAGAATTTAGAGAGAAACTCTAAGATGGGATTCAAGCATCATATTTCTCATTCCCTGAATTTATCACAGCATTTCATATTCTATATTATACACACTTAAATCCTCTTTATCAGTTATGAGACTATTTTAGACACTCTTAAATTATCAAGATTAAATTGGGGCCTTTTTCCAGCAGCAGGACTTCAAGCTCAGACTATTAGCTAATAAGGAGAGAAAGCAGAAAAACCAGCTGTTGCACGACACTGAACTTTTGCCTTTGATCATCCTCTACTTGATTCATGGCCAAAAGCAATCATGTAGGTTTAGCAGAGGATAACAAAGTTTAGTGGGTGACAGGGAAATGGAGAATAAGTGATGTTAATCATAACATGCTGCCAGCCTTCTATCATTGCAATGAGATTACCACCTGAATTTAAAGCCGCTTTCCAGTCCTCTTTTGGATTGACTATGGGTGCAACAAAAGACATGTTTTTCCTGCCCTTATAGCAAGAGAAATAGGACAGACAAATGGGAAAATAATAAATAATATATTTGCAAAATTATTAATATTTTACATAATAAATAATTTGTATTGTATTTCTCAGATTTGTTTTCTAAACTAGTTTATTCTGCATAGTTAATCTTTCATATCTTAAGGCTATCTTGCTTAGAAGTCTTTGACTATTTAATTTTCCTACCTTAATTCTAAAGATGCAGCAGTTTATGGAGGCTATTCAAACTGTGCCTTCAGTCATATCACCCCTTACTCCTCTCTTATTTTGGCAAATAAAATGGTATCTTTACCAAACATTTTCCAGAAAAAAAAAAATTCTGATCATTTTCAAAGAATTCTTGGTATAATTTTGACTCTTAAAACCACTTACTAGTTTTCCTGTTGTATAGGACAGTACTTTCCCAGTTGTACACTGTGTTCTAATAACTTAATATTAAAACTAAGTAATAAACACAGTCATTTAAGAAACCTTATTTATGGAATAATAACATTTTCAACTATCAAAATACATATATTCTATGAGGATAGGATGAACATATGAAATTTAGGAAACAGAGAAACAGTAAAAAAACCCCTATTTTAAATTATTTATTACCATTTTAAAGGAATTGTCAGGGATAAGGCAGTTTCAGATAATGAATCAAAGATTACATTAACTTAAATTTCTCCAGATTTTTGGCTTTTTGCTTTTGCTACTTCTGCCTTTCAGGCAGAAAATTCATACATACAATGCGGTAAATCTTTTAAAACTCAGAATCTAAACACACAGTCTATATCTGCTCTGGTATTTGTGTAAGTATTCTTTGGATGTGTAAATACAAGTGACACTAGTATGTGTACATAATGCTATTAGCATGTACAATCCAAATGAATAATGGTATCTCTGACAAGACAGAGATAAAAACCAGGTAACAACTTAAAACTTCATCACACTTCTGGCTTCTTACATTTTAACATAAATCTTCATATTCCTATCAAAGGGTTCATTTGGATTTCTAAATATTTAACAATGCTATCCTACTTTTTCACTCATCGCTTTGAAAGCACTTTGCACTTCAAAAAAGGAAAGGAAACAACATTGGTTTTACTCTGCAAATGTAAAAACTGAGACATTAAAGACTATTTTTTTTCAACACTGGTATTTCAAATCTCAAACCTCTTCATTAAATGATGGTAGTGTCCACCAAAATGCAGGGCAACTTCTTACACTCCTTTCTTTTCCAAGTTACCTGTCACAATAAGTGTAGAGCCTTAGAAATGAGCTGTGTCAGCACTTCAGAATCAGGATACACACAATGCATCTTCGTGTACTTTCAGATGACTGGCACTCTGTAAGAAAGGTGCTTCTAAAATTATGTTTGCCTGGGCAAAACAAAGAACAAAAATGAAGTGATTATATTATACTTAAGCTATCTGTCACTATACAATTACACGCTGGATATACTGGAGGAAAAAGAATATTTATTAAACAGGAGTATTGTAAACATGCTAATGTATCTTATCATTACCACGTGTGAAATAAAGAGAGGATTCAATGTTTCTGAAATTTTGTAAAAAACCCCTTTATTTTATAAAAATCACAAGATTCATTTAATAGATTTTGGTAATAATTAATCAGAAATTAACTAACTTCAACTTGATTCATCAGAAATGAACTTCAACAGTCAGCACATCAAATGAGTTTGCCAGTGTAACACTAGTAAGCAGGTAGAGTTTGATTCAATATGTGTGTGTTTAGATTTGTCCAACTAACTGCACACTACTACATCCATATGCTAATGTTGTTCTTACCACAATGACATTCTGTGTGAAGTACTAACAATACGGTACCTTCAAAATAATTTTCCCATTCAAAGCCAGAAAACTGCATCTACCTACCATCAACTAGAGACATTCGGAAAGCCAGTGGGGTTGGATGGTGCTTTTTCCATATCCAGCAACACTTTATTGAACAGCATTTTAATCTTTTTCTTCTTTAGCCTTACGCAGACTTCTACGGGGTAGTTAATTACTCTTGGCTTTTCCTGCGGTAGCTGTTGGATTTATCTTGATATTGGTCAGCCAGACACCATCTACATTTTTCTCTTCATCTCCGTGCCATCCACGAGTGATGTCCACCAGGCTCTTCCAGATTAACTTCAGAGATCTGCCATTTTATCAGTATGGCAAAATTAATCCACCATCTTTCAGGAAGCTTAAGAAAATACAATTCCCTTGAATTCCAGGTGCTGGGTTGGGATTCCTTCACCCGATCTTCCATATCCATTCTTCAAAGGAGTTAACAATGACCAGTATGTACTTTATTTAGTAATTAAGGATAAAGTCCATTAAAGGCAAACAACTGAAATAGAAAAATCTCTGCGTAGGCTCAGTATTAAGGCTGAATGTGATCTGTGTTATCCGGTCTATACAGACTGAAGAATGAAACTTTTTTGAAATGGCTCAAACTGTGTTAGGTCTGATGGTCTATTTAATAGAATTTTGCTTTTTCACATTTAAAATCTAACTCTTTTGTGGTACAGTTCAGCAGATTTACTGACCAACTGTTACATATTTAGCGTACAGCTGTGACATGACTGTTCTGGATTGAAAAGGGAGTCCACGTCAGGATCTGTGTGACTGCAATGCACAGTGGAACCAGACAGATCAAATAGAACATGGCATCATGAAGACCTAAAAACAAACTGGTGAAGAAGAAAACACAGCTTTGAAGATGAAGAAGATTAACTTTCATGGTTAATTCACAACAAATAATTTTTAAAGCATTCACATTATATACATATACACAGCATATTCACGTAACTGTGTAAAATAAATTCTAAATAAAATAATATCTCAGATATAAAATGTACTTCAATATTTTCTAATTTTACATAGAAATATGTATTTTATGTTGTTTCCTCCTTTCATAATAGCTGGGAGGAAATTAAATAATTGGCACACAAAGTGTTAATTTTAATACATGATATGCAACCTAATAAATCCTGTTCACTACTTTAGTACACACCTGTATTATGTAATATAGAAATCAATTTAAGCAATATAATCCAATTACAGAACAGAGCATTTGAAAAGGTTTGGTAAGTCTGAAAAATCTGGAGGAGAAAGAAAAGCAGAAAATGGAAGCAGTCATTTTAATATGAAATTATTTTATTTAAGTTAAAATCTGTGCTCCTAGCTCTGCACAGTGTGTTGTTATAGTTGCTAGATGGAAGTAATGATTAATGCACTAAATTCAGGTATGGTGTAAAGGGCTGTTTGAAGTATCAAGTCTTATTTAGCTTTGTTTTAAAATAAATTGTTACAAGATAATATAAACCATAAAAAGAATACATGTGAAATTAACCCTCACTCTCATTTATTCTCATGGATGCATGGTATTTCCTCAGCTAAATCTTCTTTAAGGAATAAGAGATAAAGGAATCAGCAAATATGAATCAAAAAAGAAAATACAGCAGTTAAACGAGTTCCCTTTTATGAACAGTATGGCTTCTGACAGCTCAAAGCATACATTTAGGCATTCATCCAGTAGCTAGAATCATTATCTGCTGGCATTCTGTTAATTATTGGATTCTAATTACTTAAATATCAGGAAAGTCAACTCAAGCTGAGAAACAGCCCCTAAATGAACTTTCTCTCCATGAGGCAGTTTATGTTATTTTCTATTTTTTTATCATTCAGGGATGAGATAGGAGACTTGCAGAACAGCTATGGACATATTCCAAAAAACCTGAAATCTGTACAAAAAACTGTGTCATTAACTTGAGCAGGCTTCTGAACAAAACCGAAGAGTTTCTCTGACTGATAAAAGAATCAACTCATGTCTCACTGCGTTTAACAGAAAAAATGCTTGCAACCTCCAGCACAGATTTATTCCTTCATACATACATACACTCACACAATGATCACTATTTATCTCAAGTCATGGACATGCTAATGCTACATAAGGAAACAAAAAACCCACAGGCTTACAAGTGAATCACTTAATCACTTGGGCAATTGCATTTAAGACTGGAAGTGTTCACTAGCAGGTCACTGGTCCACAGCCAATGTTTATTGGCAGTGACAATAATTTACCATTTGGACATTGTTTACTGGCCCACATTCAATTGCATTTTCAGTCCACCTACAAGGGGCCCACATCAGCGTCAGCAGGGAGGCCACAGACAAATTACTCACCTATCTAAAGATGAAAACAGGACTAGGACACAGTTAACAGGATGCCGGGGCTTGTGCTTTGCCAGTTCTGCACACTAAAGAGGACTGCAGTGTTCAGTACTAAAATTATTCCATCTTTATACATGGACTTCAGGAAGAACAAAAAAAAAGAAAGAACATCTGCCAGATCACTCACACTGGTGCAATCCTGATTTGGTTTCATTGGAACAATGTTGGTTTAAGAAAATAATATTACCTATTGTACTGTAAAACCTTGTTACTGCAGGAATTATGCAAAATATCTATTTCATTAGGGACTGGGATAAATCAAGAGCAGAGCTCAGATATCATCGTAATAACATCTGGAATAGTAACTTCTGAAATTTCCATGTCTACATTTTTTTGCACATGCAGGAATAAGACATACTCTGTCACTAAACAGCCCCTGTATCACTCCAAATAGAATGTGATGTAGTTCAGTCATTCATTATGAAAGCATCAACAGTTTAAAGTGCCTCCAATAAATAACAAAGAGTTGCTGTCAAATAACTTCATTCTGAAGAATGAATTTGAAAAGCACACTTTTAAAAGAAGTTACCTGTACTTGCAGTAGCTCTCCAGAAGAGGGAGGTTTTAAACCAGGTTATCTTCTCCATAGCCAAAAACCCCCCCAACCAATCAACCAACCAACTAAAAAAACCCCAAACAAAACAAACAAACAAACAAAGACCCCCAAGCCATATGGGGCGGGTAATGCTTTGCTATGATGACAGATCAAAAGAAATAAACCAAAACAAATCAGCACCAAAAACCCCAAACCAGGGCTACTGCATTCTGCAAGCTACTGCTCGAATTTTAAGGATACTTAAAATACTTCCTAAGCTTCCACTACAAAATGCTTAACTGATGTGTAATAAGCACATTCCCTACGAATGTGGGATAATGTGTGTATATTAATGTATCATGTGTAACACATACGGACTTGTGTACAATATATAGGCCGACCTAGTATGTGAAAAAGGTTACACCAAAAAGCAAGACGACTTCTGGAAGAGAGATACACTATTCATAGCAGAAGACATACTTCAGAGTTATGATACCAGAGGCAAAACCAAGAGATACTGGATTGCTGCTAAGGAAGAAGACATCACTGTGCCTGAGAGGATATTACCATTAAGGCAGAAGTAAAGAACTCGTACTGGTAAGTGAGAAGCTGGTGATGTTAATGGTCAGTTCAAAGGCTTCAGTACAGAGAAGAGAAAGTCCAGGTGTTTGGAATGCCTGGTGTAATGTACAGTACTGGGATCACTGTTCAGTGATAAATGTTTTCTCATTTCTGAAGAATCTTAACCATCCACTTGGTGGTGATACGATACCTCCCAGATGAAAGAAAAAGGGAACTGAATTTTATTTCTTCTAGACTTTTACTCTCTGTATAAAACCTCTTCACTGTCTTACCAACTTGGATGCCCTGCAGAATACAACAGTTATAGAAGCCACTGAGACAATGATGAATGATTGTCAAAAAGTCTTCCGGGATAAGAATTTCACTCACAACATGCCAGTTGTCCTAATAAGCTGCTCAGGAATGCAGTCTTTACTGAGACAGAGAACATACATGTGTGAATTGCTCAACAGCATAATGGCAACAAAAGACAGGCAAAGCTTAGAACCCATCAATTTATAGTTGGTTGGTGCGCTTACTGGAGATTTAGTACTCTAATGAGCAATAATGAAGTATTCTGATCATCACCAAACTTCCTGAGGGTACATCCTGCCCGATCATCCAGATCATTAATAAAGATGTTAAACAGGACTGGACCCAGTATAGACCCTTAGGGTAAACCACTAGTTACTGGCCTCCAACTAGACTTCATGCCACCACTAGATCACCACCCTCCAGTCAGTTTTCAACGTATCTCACTGTCTGCTCATCCAGCCCATATTATCAACAGTTTGCCTATGAGGATCTTATGGGAGATGGTGTCAAAGGCCTTACTGAAGTATGGGTAGACAACATCCACTGCTCTTCCCTTGTCTATGAGGCTAGTCATTTAATTATAGAAGTTTATCAAGTTGGTCAAGCATGACTTCCCCTTGGAGAAGCCATGGTGACTACTGCTGATGGTTTTATTATCCTTAATGTGCCTGGAAATGGTTTCCAGGATTAGCTGCTCCATCATTGTTGCTACGGTTTAACTTTCAGTTCAAGAAAAAATAAATAATTTAGAATTCAGCAGATAGTTTATGGTTTTGGACTTCATTGTCTCTTCTCCCAGTAAACAATATTGCTGGAAACTCTTAAGACAGACTTATGCAGGGCCCAAACATTTTGTTAATGCAGAATAAGGGTCGTCTGTGCTATCTTCACAGTTCACTACCACTACACCTAACAAAGTAAATGCTTTCCAGAAAATAGCTATTGCCAGCTTTGGAGAAGGAGGAAGGACGCAGCTGAGATTGCATTGGCATGGGTCTTAACATTTCATTATATATAATTCACATGTGTGAATTTTTTTTTTTCCCCAAAACAGTTTGAGCACATTTTAAGCAATCTCCTGTACTCAGTTTTGTTTGTCCCCAAACAACTTTGTCCTGAGACAAGTGTATTTTAGCAGCCCATGGCTGAAATCTGAGATCAGCTTATAGGGTTTAATATGTATAAGTAATTTTAGCTCAGTCAATGGTCTGAGTACATTGCCACGGGCAAACTGACTACCTAGAAACAACCTAAGTGGTCTGGTCTTTGTGGACTGTATGTCCACACTATAGTCCATTTACAAAGTGAAGGACGTGCACATTCACACCTGCATACATAAAAACACACACACACTGCTTCATATTTAAGAAATTTTTGCAGGGATGGCCAAGAGCGATATATAGTATATTTCAAGTGCTCTATGATTAACTGATCTCAGTTCTGTACCTTTTTGGTGTTCCTTGCCCTAGTGAAATAAATCAAATTTCAGGATGACTCAAGTGAAAATATAGGTTTTCGAGATGGAGCATTGAAAGTATTTCAACTCTATATACAATAAATTTATTGTTGCTATAGTCCAGAAGCTACTTTCTGGGGAAAAAAAGATTTACAACTACTGTGATTTATAATCCATCCACAAAGGGATAATTTCTCTGATTGAAAGGGATCAGAACTGCAGTTTTTATGTTTTAAATCTGAATTATCTGAGTCATCAAAATGAATATATTCATCCCTTTCATATCCACATTCAGTTCAACCTACCACTCTTCTGCAAAAATCACATGTTATGTGACATTATATTGAGGCTCATGTCCTCTGCACATCATGTCACTAGCTGGCTATCTACAGAATGTATTAAAATAAAATTAACTGTTCTCACACATAGCCTCAAACTTAAGCTTTCTTTGCTTGTGTCAGGATGCTTTTCTGAAGACCACTTGTTGTCATTTTATGTCATGCTTTTCCTCATACACTTTCTTTTTAGAAAATTCCTCAAATATGAAACATTCTGCTAGCCTTAGGTGACACATAAGTAATTTCTTGTTCAAGAGCTATTTATCTTCACTGAAGTTCATATACAATTGTCTTCTATGTATTTTTAAGGTTTCTACTCAAAATGTAGGAGAGCTATGTAGTTTTCAGGATATTCATGCTGTTCTCTCAAGCAAATCCTAATCAGGACTGATTTTTGCCTTTTAGTTCTGACTTCAGTTATTCCTTATGTTGCCACGTCCTCTTGGTCATAAACAGCCTATGACCCTTTCAGTGTACTGACTCCCTGTTAATTTGTTTTTATAGAAGCCCATGCATTTCCAATATGCTAACTAGCAACCACAGCTTTATGCTGTGCATTAAGGTCTCTGGGGACTGCAATGAAATCATTAGCATCAGAATGGTAAGTAGTATTGAAGCCAAAATTATACTCCTACTTGAGGCAAATTCCCTCCCTCCAGTGATTATACTGCTTTCCCTCAAACAAAAATGTCTCTTTAATGCAACCCTATTAGGATTATATATTTAAGGATGTAAGTTTACAAGATAAACAAAACACAGAAGCCAGGACAACATGTATAAGAGGTATTAGGTGATCTTAAACCTATTTTTTCTTCTTTATTTGCAATAGAACAGGAGATGGTCTACTACTGAAATGTATTATTTGTTTTTCAAAATTACGTAGATATCCTCATGTGTACTGTTTAATAAATAATTTATTCTTTAAAAAATTCTAGAAAACATTTCTATTTCTATGAAGATGAAAAACAACTGGAAAATATTTTTAAAGCACTCATTTTTGAAGTGCTGTTGATACAAACTAATTGCAGTTTGATTTGCTTTCAGATGACAGGATTATTTCACGTTAATTCCTATGATTTTAAGTATCCCTTTTGAACTCACCTTGGATCAGGCTGAGCAACTCCATTATTCAGGTTCTCATATCCAAATTGATTTAGTATTGTAACCACAAGCATTGGAGCCAAAGATTGGGCAGGCTTGGTAAATAAAGCATTGGTACCAAAAACCATAGAGGAAAGTGGTGATCTAAAATATTTAGGGAAAAAAACAAATGAACATGCAACACAAACTTATTAGTATATTAATTACAATAGTAATTTAAAAAAATCCTCTTAATATGCAAATGCTAACTATCATGATACTTAGCTTTTATAGTTCACACATTACAGCAAACAGATCAGTTATCATAATGAAATTTAATTTTTTTTGGAAATGAAAGGTAATAAACCTCTGGGGTATATATACAGCTTGGACCCAATTCTGAAATGACTTGCACCCAAGTTCAACTTTGTGCACATTTAGTAATTACTGAAGTTAACTTCGACTGAACTGTGCATGGAGAATTAATTATAACTTAAGAATTTACATGCATGAGGCCAGAAAAGGAGGCATTTTTTTTTCCTCATGAAAGAAATAGTTCTCACCTTCGAGAGGCAAGTCCTTTAATATAGTGACCAGGATTGAATCTGCACTTACATAAACATTAATGGAATCAACAGGAAGTTATCTGCACTTTGATAAAAACCCAAAAGATCCATGAGTTGTAATATGCTACATCACATGAGGTTTCAACAATTTTTATTTCAGAGGGATAACAGCAACCAGTTTGACTTCGAAATTTGCACTTTAAGTAGCATAGGCAAAGCTTTCTAAACACTTTTTCCAGGTTAAAAAGGCCTTATTCAGAAAATTCCCTAAGTGACAATAGATGTATATGGTTAAAAAATAATTAAATTGAAGCTAACAGAAAAAACACACAAAAACCCTGAAAGCCTTGGCTTATATTGCAGTATAATTAAAACTAGAAATGACCTAACAATCTGTTTAAATTACTCTGCTGAAGTAACCACAGGAAACTTTATTCCATTTTTTATCTTTACTTATGGTAACTTGCTCTTACAAAAACTATTTCTGTGTCAAGGATCCAAGATCATTTACTGTCTTGTCTTTGATATAATCTAACTTATGAAAGAGTAACATGTCAATTAGATTGCATATTTAAAAAAACCACTTAAGACTGACATACCTCCGCTTGTGCTTTACTAAATCTGCATCAACAATATCTGCCAAAGGCAAGTTGAACAAACTAAACGAAGCTAGTACAATTACCCTAGAGAAAGACAAAATATTTAAGTTGTTCATAGTTATTATATATACTTTCATCATGAAATCATAACTGACATTCTAACATATACATCCCAACACTGACAATTCTGCAAAGACACAAAGCTGAGACGTTCTTCAAAACATGGTGATATAAACATGCTGGTTAAACAGCAGTTCTGAAAGCATTATTAGATCTGCTCTTAATTGAGAATTAGAAATCAATATTCAAACCTAAAAGATGGGGGTTTTGCTTTTTTTTTTCCTGGACATTGGTGCAAAAGGTCATAAATACTTGCTTGAGATTATCAGTAAATGTAATTTAAAATTACATGGAGAAAAGAAAGACCTTGGAAGAAAGAGAAAAATTGCTCTTGAAATCTAAAAAGGACATGAGCATTATTGGAAAGACTACATGGAAGACAAACTTCAAAGTGGGAGAATTAGAATAGTAAAAATATTTTATATGTATCCTTATGTATATATTTACATTTAAACAAACACACACACACACACACAAAACAAATCTGATTCTCAACAAACTCCTAAGTGAAACCATAAACTCAGATATTATGATTTCTATGTCTTATTGAATTTTTGGTATGATTAACTTTTACTTTCAAGAAGCTTTGAACATTAGCACTTTAAACATACAATCTTCAGATACCTTAGATTTTTTTCCTGGGGAAATCAAAATATATCTTCCTCATTTAAAGAGTGCAGGTAATGAAATTCAATTTATTGTTCACACAATTCAGTGTTACAGTAGCCCGTGACTGAAATACTGAAAATAAGAATGAAAACAAGGGGGGAAAAAAGAAGATGACAAAAAGGAGGGTAGGAAAGAACATGTAAAAAGAAAGCAATGAAATAGAAAATAAAGAAATAAAATCTAACTGCTCTAACAGTACTCTGATGCAAACAAGTCTCTATTTTTAAATAAGGTTTTCTATGTATCATAATATACTACTTCTGTGAAAATACTACTTCTTGGCATTATACTTACCCAGTACCAGTGGAAATGTGACTGAGTACTGGTTACCCAACAGATACCTGACATACTGATATTTGTTTTGCAGTTCAAGACACAAGTGTTCATGCAATACAAAATGAGTTCTGAGCTCTCCTAGCAAATAGTCTCTGAAGGCTTCCTCTACTGAGATCTTCTGTGTCTATGTGGATGAGAAGAGGTTCTGCTTCCCTTGAATCCCATGTTAAAGCAGATGTGTGGCTGGAGGCATATGGTCACAAACCTTAATTACTGATCATTTTTAAGGCTTTGGGGGGGAGGGGGGGGGGTTAGGCAGAAATTAAAAGCTGAAGCAGAATAAAATGAAAATGGAGTTTCAACTTTTCTGACAAGTGAAACGGAAAAGGAAAAAAAAACATAAAAGCAGTGGTAGAATCTTCATGCTATTAAAAACAAGTGTCCACTCTGTTAGAATTATTTAAGCCACATCCATGAATAGAGAACTGTATTTACTTACATGTTTGTTGTGAGATAAAATGCCAACAGATAATAGTGTTCTGGCCCTAGAACAAACATGACAGCAGCAGCTACTCCTTCAAAGTAAAAGGAAAACAAGATGATTCTGTAATAACCAAACTTCTTCAGTGAAGCATGACTGAGAAGAACAAGGCACTGAAAAGATAATACATAAACATATCTGATGAAACATATACAGTATCTCAGCATTAGGAGAGCTATAAAGCACAAATGAGACCTAAATTATTACTACCCATTAAAGAAAAAAAAAAAAAAAAAGCCAAACCAACCCTTTCTACAAAGTTCAATCCAAATAAGAGTTGAACAAAGAGAACCTTCTACTGACTCAACCAGTGCTACCTCTACCAGTTAAGAATGGTAAAACTAGCCAGCTGAGAACTACTATATCCTGAGGAAAATAGTTTCCCACATTGCCAAACTATTATTTAAAGCTCGTGATCATTATGTTTGATATCCCTTTTTGCTCTCTACAATTGCCTGAAAGGAGGGTGTAGTGAGGTGGGGGTTGGTCTCTTCTCCCACATAACAAGTGATAGGACAAGATGGAACAGCCTTAAGTTGCACCAGGGGAGGTTTAGGTTGGATATTAGGACAAAAATCTTCACTGAAAGGGTTGTCAAGTACTGGAACAGGCTGCCCAGGGAAGTGGTGGAGTCACCATCCCTGGAGGTATTCAAAGCACGTGTAGATGTGGTTTAGTGGTGAATTGGCAATGCCAGGTTAAAGATTGGACTAGATGATCATAATGGTCTTTTCCAACCAAACTCTTCTATGATTCTATGATATTCAGATGAAGAAGAGGAAAAAATTCTCCTTGTACATTTGTTCTCACATTTAAATGCTTTAACATAATGAATAAAACCAGGATGCTACAGTCAGACAAAGATTACTTTGGCAAATAATATTTAAAGAAGCTCAAGTTTTCTACTTAAACCAATGATCAGGGAAGTAAAAGAAACCTGGAAAGTTGGTATAAGAAAAAGATTTGGTTGTAGAAACTTAAACATACTCCTCCCCTGGCTGTTCTCAGGCATTTTGCAGAGAAGTGCTCACACTAGAAATGGTCAGGCATTATGTTAATGCATGTTATTGTAAAAACCATGACCCTGTCTCCCTCTAATTGAGAAATAACCCTGTCTCAGGAAGTACTTATGATTTAGAAAATTACTTAAATTACCTGCACATTTCTAAGACTGCATATTTCTAAGAAAAATACTAACTTGATGCAAATTTAATTTTGTTTGTCTATGTTTCAGCAACAAGGTTTTCCTTGTAGGCAGGTTTTATTCTTCACACTCACTACTAAACGGAACAGAAGCTGAATTCTAGTTTAGTACAGGCTGCTGAAGCACAGTTCATAAGAAGGGGCTTTATTTTACAGGGGTTGGGCGCTTTTCGAGTAAGTGAAGTTCAGGACATTACCAAGAGACAATTCTCTTGTGATATCTTGAGCTCAAAAGGACAAAACCTGTGAAAAATAAGGTCACAGCAAACTCTCTATGGTTCAGTGACCCTCTAGACAAAGAGTTGCTGGGGAGCAGAGAGATGCATTTCCTGAAAGACTGTTTCATGCTGTTGCACTGATTTTATCAACAAAAGTGATTGCTGTATATTGAGTGTAAAATTATCTAAGCTTTCGTAATTTCTGATTTATTTACAAGGTTCATCAGCTAACTGTTTGAGTTACAGAAAAAAAACTTATTTAACCTGTGGTAATGATAAAAGTTGAAATGATAGGTATTTAGGAGTTACGGCACATAGAAGGTCCATTTAGGATTTGTATGTTATATATGCAAAAGCCAAAACGGTAACTGAAATTGAGCTGTGAATTCTAGTTGCACTTTCATGTACCTTCTTTTACATCTTTCTTACTGAAAACCATTACAAAACAGCCTGATTTTCAGAAATTCTGAACACCATCAGCACCTATGACGAAAGTCAGGATATCCAGATTTTTGAGTATCCTGACTTTCATCATCCAACAAGTAAACACAGCGAACATTTGAAAAGATCTAGTGCAAAAAGGTAGAAGGGAATGAACAGAATTTTTTTATTCACTCCAGACAAGTATGTTTACATTCTGTGGGACATATTTTTGCTGCTTTTCTTGTTCTCACACATTATTTGTTTGGGTTCTCTCTTTTCTTTTCCAGTTCATTACTCCTCCCCTCATCCCTGAGTGGGGTCTTGAAAGTATCTCTCTCTCCCCAGTAAACGTAGCTGACAAAGACAGCAAATAACAAAATAAGTAGGAACATACTATTCTCCAAAAGCAGCTATTTAGAGTTTTGTTTGGTTCCCATGACTGAGATACCACAGATTGCGACAACACTTTTAATACCTAATACTTTTTCTAGTGTTTTGTGCAGTTTATCTCAGAAACTTCCTGAAAAAAGAGATTATTCTTTAATCATGTATTACAAAACAAAATAAAAAAGAATTCAGAATTCTGTAGATTTTGCTTTTAGAAACTTTTTATCTTGACCATGTTTTTCATTCCTTTATACTTAGGTATTATAAACCCTGTAGGACACAAAACATTCACTCCTTGCATATCTGGATCTTACACCCTTGTAAACAGGTATTCTCCCAGCCTGCCTGCTTGTCCCTTCTCCCTACCCTACCTCACACCTGGTTAGTGTGAACATCGAGGGATTTCCTTCTTTTAGAGCTCAGTATGGCCAACGGCTTATGGTGGATACAGCATTTTTCCAACAGTGTAAATGCATACCTTAAGCTAATGAAAACTAGTAAAACACCAAGTTTTCATATTTTGAAATAAAAAAGTGTAACTGCCTACCTGAGGACAAATAAAGCCTGCTCCATACATTATACTTCTTATTGAGGAAGAAAGGACATCCTTAGGAATAAGATTATCCGCGAAGATCATCATAAAATTGTTGCAGAAGGCTAGGTGGAAGACTTGGAAGAAATTCATTGTTACAAAAAATAAAAAATTTTTCTCTGTCATAATCTGTTTGGTCAATGAAATTACAGAGGACCAGGAGAGAGCTCCATCACTGTTTTCCAGATCAGTATTCGCTGTACAGATTTCTCTCTGTTCATATTGACTCGTACTATATTTGCCTGTGTAACACATACAGGCTGTTGCTAACACTGCGACCAAAACGGTGAAAGCTTGAAAACAGGCAAAATTTTCCATATTATCTGATACGAGACCACAGAAGAGAATGCTTGTTGATCCAATTAATGTTGCTACCTGGTTATATTTAATAAGCTGAAGCCTACTTTCATGCCTTGTTGAAATTTCTGCGAAGAGCGCGCACTGCGCTAGAAGCACAAATGTAAGCAAACCATCAAACGCACATAAGGCAACAACGAGGTGAAGACCACTCAGCCAGTCACCTTCTTCATAATGTTTCCAAGGAAACCAAGGAAGCAAAAAGGCCAATGCATATAAAGGAGCTCCATATAAAATTGAAAACTGGCGTCTTGAGCAGCACGTGAATTTGGAGTTATCTTGAATATAGCCAAACAGAGGATCGTTAATGGCATTCCAGATCATAAATACAACCTGCGGCAAACAAGTAAGAAACACAACAGAATTTATCATTACCGTAATTTTACAAACACAGAAGTAATACACATCATATTTATTTAAAGTAAATCTCTATTCAAAGAATAAAGAAAGATGAAAGTTTCTCAGGTCAAAACAGACTCCAGACCAAATTCTTAAAGGTGTTCACAGTAATTTTGAAAAATTAGATGAATAACTAGGCAGGTGCCCAGCTCCATGTGAAATAAATCCCTGTCCCTAAGACTTCACTCCTTCAAAAGCTTATGTATCTGGGCTTTCATCTTGCAAAGCTCAGATATTACTCTCCCAGCAAGTAATTCAAAACATGAGCTGGCCCATTACTTTCAGGAAACCATTTACAACAAGAGTTGCTCACGCAGATAATGACTTGCAGAATAAAGGCAGTATTTAAGTACTTAAACAGTCCATAGGAAAGCACTAATGTCAAACTATCCATGGAGCTGAGATGCAAGATTAGTTTAAAACATTACTTCAAGCTATCAAAGATAAAAATCTTTCCAGTAATTAAATTCTGGATATATTTAGTCAAAAGCCTGTAAATGATGTGCTTTATGGGTACCTTCAATTGCTTATGGATTAACTACATTGAAAATTAATTTACTGTAATTTGCAGAGCATCAAAAATTAATTAATAATAATTTTTTAAAAAAGAGATTTTGTTATGATAACACAGACACATAGAACAACACGGTAATCAAAATATTCCACTGTACAATACCTGTGCTTGATGAAATGCTGCTTCTGAAATTTTGTATCGGTTTAGGAAAAGCTTAACGTAGTAGAAATTAAAGATACTGTTCATCATTCCAGCACCTAACGTAGTCATGGAATATGCCAGTGCATTAGGATGAATTCCCAAAACAAACTTCATCTTCCATAAGTACAACTCTCTTCTTCCTCAAGTTACAGAAAAGAATTACAACAGTTGGTAGAATAACTTTCCAAATTAAAATAACAAGGGAGATCTGCTTGTTTCAGAGGTGCTGAAATGGATTCTTAGAGGGAAATTTCCCCATTCTTACTTTCTTTTTTTTTTTTTAATGAAAAAAACATTTTACTGAGTTATAACACACTAAGCACAAAATTGAATAGATGCAGAATATTAAGAAGTCAGTGACATTTCTAAATCCTTCTTAACTGGTGCACAGACTCAATATAAAAATCTGTTATTGCAAACACTAATCTTGGTGTAGGGTTCAAAGCAATTGCATACATTTTACATCTTTCTTGCCAGCTACATAGTTTTAGAATTATGGAGTGTGTAGGAATGAAGTGACTCAATTCATACCCTTCCATATTCCATTGCTATGAATGTCAAATGCAGCATACATTTAGATTAATATTTCTTTCAAACAAGTGCCATGTTTTGTCCTTGTATTTTTAAATGTTAATTGTTAACAAGCCATGGAAGCAATACTTTCACCTAATAAACTAATGAGATGTGAACAGAAACCAGAAAACAATCTAAATATCTTTTAATAGTTTAAACATTCACATTGTATAAAAGACTGCATGTAAATAACAAGTACAGCATTTTAAGTATGTCCAAATAACAGAGATTCAGCCCAAGAATATAGAGTTCTTTAATATATCAAACAGATCTCCAGCCAACAAGTTTTTAAGATGCTGACTTTTTCCATCCATCCAGCAATTAACTTAAGCATGTTTGGTATAAACTAGCCCATAAAAATAGCTACATCCAGGGAACCTCTACCTTTTAAAGCAGAGTAATGACTACCTAAAGGCAGTCCTTGACCACATTCGATTCTATAAGCCAAATACAAATATATTTCTCCCAGGTGTCTATTCTTAACTGGGGCTTTATTCAGCTTTACATCTATTTGAAGGAAGCTGTCTGCCATTAATTTGGAGATACTTCAGGTTTAAATTTCAGCCTTACTATGCACAGTAACTCCAGAGTTTTACAACCTGCTTTTTATCAATACTCCAAATTTTGCTCCTCTGCATACTAACAATTTCATCCTAAATGTAATTTTCAAATATCCATCAAAATACTTAGTTTGAATACCTGCTTGCTCAGCTTGAAAAGCAGATGTATAAGCAGCTCCCTGAACTCATAAAAATGACCATGAAAGAAGCAGGAAATGAAAACCAAAGCTGTTTCCAGCCTTCCTGTGGTTTACAAAGTGGCTGAAGACAGGCTGCTGCGAGGGAAGATGGTCACTTCCCAATGGGCAGGCGAGGCCAGGGCAAGGCCACAGCTCAGGTACAGACTGGAGACGTGTCTGTTCTGGCAGAGGATGGAACAGCAGTTTTTCCACCCCCAGTACAGAAAATGAACTCCTGAAGAGCAAATAAAATGTGGATGCATATATATACTTACGATGCTCTAATATGAAACAAGATGCAAAGAGTACATAACTTTACAGGTTAAAAAAAAAATAATCAAACTGACAACTTGAACCATTTTTTTTTCTAAAGCAAATTTATTTGTAAGAATGTGACTGATTTTTTAGATGCTTGAGGATGATTGTGATAAATTTTCAAGGTTATTTTTCACAGAGCTACAGCTGTAGAGACAATTCCATTTTCAAGTGATGAAATTTTGCATTTTTGTAACAAGTTTGGTTTCACAAACTTTTACTGAGAAACCTAAAATTGAAAACATGCCCATTTGAAATATTTATTTTTAAAAAATAATTTTGATATGACTAACTGGAAAGTCATTACAGTAAGTATGTCATTGACAAGTATAACTTTTTTTTTTTTTTAAGAAGTGCCCATTCAAGCCTTCACAAATATACTTAATGAATTATTTATGTATTAGATATTAGGGCTTTTGGAAAGGTAGACTTTTCATCTCAATTTCTGGAGCCCCCAATAGACAATTGGGAGTCTCTTCTTTCCCTCAAATTCCATGAGCACCAAGAATAAACGTGCTTCAAACTAACAGTCATTTCTCAAATCATGTTTGACTCAATTCCTTCCCACACACAAACAAAAAAAAGTCCCCTCAGCTTCAGAAAATCTGAAAGTAAGAAAGAAATTTGAAAATTTCTTCAACAAAAACCTTCCAACAATGCACAAACAGGCCTCTAGTGCCATGACTAATTATAATACGCAAGATCTGACACACCTCTTTACACTAATTGGTACATCGGGCCCTGTACCTTGTTTATGAAACAGGTTCAATTAAGAAGTTGAGGTACCACACTTCCTTTCCCAGAAGACCTGCTCTTTAATTGTACAACAATGAAATCATGCATGAGTATCCCTTCCCTCTTCTTAGTAGTCAGCCTTTCTACTGAATAGGCTAAAGCACAGGTGTTGACATTTTGTGACTCACAGAAGGCAAATCAGTTTCAGAGATTTCGAGTGGTTACAACTGTGTGAACACAGATGAGTCAAAAGAACAGACTGAGGCTGTTCAGAGCAGTGAGATGCAGTGTGGCGTTACCTGCCTTTCTCCCAGAGCTGGATGGCAATCGCTAGAAGGAACTAGAGCATGAGTCTAAAGAAGAAAAGTGGATTCCCAAGTGGTAATAAATTTTGACTGAAGCTGACATCACGCTCTGCTGCGCCGAGTCCCAAACTGCAGCGCAGCGCTCACAGTCCTGACAAACTGGTTGGACACAAGTATCTTCCTCATCTTTCTTTCATGACTTGAACCACATTAAGACAGAACTAAGAATAAATGCTTTCCTAGTCCCGAGGGGCAGTACTAAGGGGAAGTGCTGCTGGAGCAGAGGGAAGATGCAGATAAAGCCCTGGGAGGAGGAGGGCAGG